GTATATATGTATATATGTATATATGTATATATGTATATATGTATATATGTATATATGTATATATGTATCTATGTATATATGTATATATGTATATATGTATCTATGTATATATGTATATATGTATATATGTATATATGTATATATGTATATATGTATATATGTATATATGTATATATGTATATATGTATATGTATATACAATTGAATATAATTTATATTATACATATTATTGCGTCCGCAAAATAACTGAAGAGCACCAGTTGTCCACGTACATGTGATTACAACCCTGAAGCTGGAGATTCCAAGGCATGTAGCAAAACGAAGGCTGTGAAGGCTGAATTTCTCATATTTTCTTATCATGTCCCATTCCAATGGATTTTGTTTCCTCACTTCCCATACTGCCGGGACTCGGACCAAATCGCTTGAGGAAGTCATGAAAAACGTCTGTGCATTCCTCCTTCACCTTGACATCAGCAGATTGTGAGAGCTACTTCAGTAGGAATGGAAAAATCAATCGGAGAAGACATGCCTCTAATGAAGGGATAGACGTGATGCCGTGAAGCATCTTGGGCAAGACCTCAGTCGTTTGTCGCTATGTAAACCTTGCATGGTCATTGTCTGATTCACACAGCAAAATTCAATACAAATTTCTGAGATCGATGCATTTTGGCAAGCAAGCGCACTGCAGGTAGCAGGCCTCGATTGTGATCATGTTCTTGACAGGGTCGAAATATGCCCGTAATTCTTGAGATGCTGCGATCTTGTCTTGTCTAACTTTGTGCGACAAGAATTCCTACCGACAAACAAAATAACATCCTGCTTGCTTCAGAAACGGGTCCAATATTAATAGCATCAATATGTCGCACAATAGGCACTCCCCCAACACCCAGGTCTAGAAGAATCTCGCATCACCCAGTCTTGGAGTTTTTTTTTGTTTCAGGCGAATATGAATACCAAGCAGCAGCTCTGTGAGAAGACCCTTCAAGCAGGTCGCGTAAATATCTCGAACCTGTCAGAATTTAGCATGCAAGATGATACTGCATCACTCCTGACTCAAAAAAACTGTTAATCATGACATGAGTTGAGGGAATGTTGCCGAGTGGGAGGATTTTATAAGTTATACAATAGTGCAAAAAATATTTGTATATATACATAGCATAAAAAAGGAAACGTCAGATACTTCTAGGTTGGCTAGATTCGAATAGTGAATTAGCTGTTGACTAAGCGCGCACCATGTTTCAAGTGTCGTTTGTCCTGCGCCTCTGCCTTGCCATCAAGGACTTGCTGGCACAGTTTTGCTAGCACCTTGCAAGAAATTGCAAAAAAAAATGAATCTAAACTGCAAGAAATCGTTGTTGGACACATGTGCCAGTTCAGTTTGGCCAGCCTCACCAATCTGTTGTTCTTGGAACTTGCACACAATCTTTGCCAAACACTTTACCTTGGCAAATACAAAAGACCGCGCAACGGCATTTTTTTTACTCCTGTCATCCTGCATTATGATGCATCATAAGGAAAACAAACACATGACAAGTTACTGCGTTGCCCTGGACATCTATGCTCTGATCCTCGAGATGCAAAAACACGCACATGCAGCAAGTGCATCGGAAAAAATGAGGACGACTCTTTCACAATGTTGTACACTCCCCGCACATCGAGCCTCCAATTGTTTCACGAAAGCTTGGCAAACTCTCTTTTGCAGATGAACATCGAGGACCTCACATTGACAAAGGGAGACAACTGTTCCATAATTTCGAAAGCAGCGAAATCCCAAATAAACACACTGCATCCGAAAGAAGACTTCCAGTCGTGACTTCAGAAAATGCCGCAAGAAAAGTACCAACCAAATACATGGAAATGCCCAAATTTTGAACCACTCACGATGATGTGTTCGCCAGTCTGTTCTCAAGAAATGGGAGCTGCCATGACAGCCCCAACCTTTACATACACTCACCAGCCTTTATATATCGTAGTGATATGTTTGATATTTTCGGAGGTACCCATGTACTCATATCATTATGCAATGTCACCACACAAACAGAATTACCAAACAAAATGCCCTTGCAACCCAAACAATGCACTGGTTGTTAACAAGTTCCACTTAAAACAAAACAAACGCAAAAATGTCCCAAAAAAAAAACGTTGCAAACGTGACAACTGCAGCAAATTTGACGCATGCACATTCAGCGTGAGCAGCAAAAGAAGGTGAAACACGATCAAACGTACATTGCGACAAACCATAAATGCAGATGGGTTGGTTTTGTCCGTTGCCTGGTTCGACATAGTAACCTCTTGGGTCAAGTCAGACGCAGCCATAAACCGTTTGTCCTACAAAATCACAATTGCGAATTTAACTTCCATTGAATCCAATGAGATCCACCCGTAACAGCATGCCCAGAAAATATCTGGAGTCTAGATCATGTCTCAAAGCAACCATGCACTGCGTTCTCCTTGTCCCAATTTTCCATGTCTTCAAGGAGTTGAGAAACGCTGGACAAGTTCATCGTCATCTGACTTTGGTGCTTTTGCACCACCTGGACACAAACACAGGTGAGCAACCACACATAGCAAATCAAAGGAAACATCAGCAAAAACATCTGGTTGAGCCTCACCAAGTATGTCAAGAATCCATTCAGAATCTATAGTTCGCTGGAAGCCAAAACGCAATGATCATCGTTTGATCAAAAAGGGTTTCATGCACAATACACAAAAAACGAACGAACAGCACATGTGGAACAGAAGACCTTTTGGTAGGAAGAATTGCACCTGCACTCAAAATACAAACGAATGTTGCGCAACACACGTCCAATTGTTTGAGCGCAGCACTCAGGACATTTTGGGCACACAAAAAATAGGAAATAAGCTGCCGAACAAGTTTCCAGCCGCTAATTTTGGAAATTGACGTCCTGCACTTCCCATTTTTGGGCGTTGGCAGTGGAAACACGCTGGGTGTTCAGCCGCCCAACCACAAAATGGAGAAACCAGTTGTTCCACCACAGCATCAAGCAGGATTGGTTCTTATCTTCATAGAGACCGGTGGTTGCGCAAACAACATGAGTGCTCAAGCGTCACATCAACGATCAACTGAAGTTCTCACGCAGCAGCGCCTTGTTGACAAGTTGGGGACTAAGCTGCGGCCTCTCCATCAGGCTGTGGGTTTGGCCAGAAAAAGATGGATGAAGATGGATGTAGACGATGACGTTGACAAACTGTACGTCCAACTCTGAAGGATGTCAACAACTGCCAGGGTGGCAGTGGATGGGGCAAGCTGTTGACACCCAAAAACAAAACACATGACATTGAGAATCCACAAGTGTGAAGTTGCATTGAAGATTTGAAGTTGATGCTGTAATGAACTGCATGGCTGAGCACAGCTACATCTTAAGCCACCTGGTTTGCATCCAAGACCTCTCGTCTTCTGATAAATCCCAATCACAAGTTACCGCATGATTATCTTCATAAAGACAGGTGGCTGCACAAACAACATGAATGCTCAAGCGTCACATCAACAATGAACTGAAGTTCTCACGCAACAGCACCTTTTTGACAAGTTGGGAACTAAGCTGCAGCCTGTCCATCTCCCCACTTCCTTTCCAGCTGCAGCATTTTGTCCCAACAGTCTGTCACATCCAAGCAAGTTTGGTCCACACCCAAGTCCAACAACTGTTGTACAGAAAGTCGCGATGGTGCGTAGGGACCCTAGCATAACATGGAGTCAGTTGGCCTTCGCACTCCAAGGCCAAGGTCGCAATCAAAATCATTCCCGCCAGACTGTGGGAGGTGCTGCATGAAATCAGTGTATCACGCACTGCATTGTTGTCTGTATATATGACAACGGAATTGAAGAAAAGTGGCATCCACACCAAAAACGAACAAAAAGAGCAAAGAACTCACATTCGTAAATCGCAGTCTTTTTGCCCTGTGTGTTGGGTTTCTTCAAAATTTCAGTGTCGAGTCGCTGTGAGAAGAACCTGACTCGCTCACCCCGGGGATTGAACAACACCGCACCGATTCCTGAGAAAACAGTCTCCTCACCAGGTTCACGGCGCCCAGCCGTGTTGCCAACTAAGACCAAACCGTCCTTCATGCACGACACATTACATTGAACCCCCAAGGCTTGAAACAAGGTATGAAAGTCAGGTGCCTTGGGGCCACCTTCAGCAAAAGCCCAACCCAAAAGACGCAGGAGCATATGCACGCATGAAGTAACCGACGCCGACTCCTGTGACGTAGCAAGTGTGACGAAGTCGTCAAAGTAGTTTGCTGTCAGCACCATGAACTCCTTCACCAAAAGGTACCAGATACTCAATGCAAATCTCAAAAAAGAATGCACCGACCGCACCGCCCCAAAAGGTAGGGCCTGCATCCTGAATGCAGCAATCTCTTTTGTCCCAGGGCGCTGAACAACAATATGAGAAAACATCTTTGACGATGGCCTCACAGCGCACTGCCTGTATGCACGTACCAAGTCAAGTAGTTCTTCCTTGCCACACATCGTTGCTGTCACAAGACGACATAACATATACACACAAGGCTGCAAAGACATCCAGTGTTTGCGGTTTTGGACTTTCAGTTGACTGCACACTGGCGTTAACAGAGGACATGGAGAAGTCGTCAATACAACGTATCTTTGCTCCCTGCTTTATCCCAAACCGCCTGCTCAAAGGGTAATGGCACGGGATGTCATCCAGGCTCAATGGCCCTTCAAGGGCTCCAGATTGCACCTCCTCCATGCTCTTTGACCAGATCTCCTCAAGAAACTCACCTCCACCTTCACGATGAAACTGCTGGGCTATCAGGGCCCTTTCTTTGGAGGCCAGTTCATGCAACTCACTGACGCTTATGGCAGCCGGCTGAAACCAGCTGAAACTTCAAAGGCCACAACCCCGTCCTGTCAATGCAACCCACCAAGTCAGAGCCCTGCTTGAACTCGTTCACCACCTCCATGTCAGGGTATTGCACTGATTTCAACATCGCCTCCCAAAGGCAAACGTTCTTTGGGGCCAAAACTTGCGCAACATCAGGGTCCACGCTCTGCTTCAGTTTCTTCTCATCCTCCTTGAGGCTCACCAAAACCTTCAACCAGTAACCAAGTTTTGCTGCCCTAACTGACATCCTTTGGTGCGCATCCATAGCCTTGTAGACCTCCACCGTCTCCTTGAGAACTGTCGGTAAGCTGGACTGCAGAGTGGATGGGTGCCCAAATCTTACCATTTGTTTGACAAAGTCCTCTTCAGTCCATGGCACCCCCCACACCTGTGTTTCAGAAATTCCAACCCTTGGCACGCCAGAGGATGAACACAGGGAAACCACTCTGTCAACGTTAGTTTGACTCAGGTGCTGATCCGAAACAAAGGCCCCCCCCTGCAACACTGTCGGGGGAAGCACTGGTGGCGCTAGTTGTAACAACTTTGAACCTTTTGGCAAAACTGTTGGCGCATTTGCTGTCTTCACTTGCAACGGCTGTTGTAACTGCTGATTCATGTCAAAAGCAGGAAGGTCCTCACGAAAACCCGTGAGAGCTACTTTGGCTGCAAAATGAGGTATCAAAGGTGGAAGTGTGGCCACCTTTGGCTGGTTGCCTGTCTGTGCACGTAGGGACGCCAGCACTGCAGAATCATTGTTGGATATCTGTGCTAAAGTTTCTGGAGGCGCTTGGATCCCCAATGGCTGCAGCGCCAGGATGAACTGCGCCGCAATGAGTCGGCCAATGGCAGTGGATAGGCAGTTTCCATCGCCGTAGCGAACCTGTTTGCCGCATGGTCCAAGCCCCACTTGTCATGACGGTGGGTGGAGGTAACACCATCACACCTCTTGTTAATGATTGCAAACTCCTCCATATTGAAGGCCAACATGGTGCGCTTAGGGCGCCGGCTTCCACGTTGTCTGCAAGTGGATGACTGGTGGTCTCTCGTGGCGGTACCTCCGCTGGCACTCGCAAAACCACTCCCTGGTCCTGGATGAGGAAACGCAGCACAGCTCTAAGCGCCTTCTCGGTGCTTTCGGTGGGCTTTGATTGTCGGGTGGCCAGAAGTTCCACCCACCCCCTGATATCTTGGCGCGTTTGAGCGAACCACGATAACTTCCCTAAGGCAGACGGAACCTACTGTAGGCTTCAGGGGTAAGTTCCTTGCCTTCCTGGTCCAACGCAGGTGATATCTGGCGCACTACGACTACCAGCCTTCAAACCACAAGACTCAACAGTGGTTTTCAGATAATCCTCTGGTAACCCCACAAAGATAGCTTTGTCACCCCTCTGACGGAAGATCTGTCGCCCCAAAAACTTCAGCTGGCCCCCACCCCCTTTTGAGGATTGCACCAAACCAGTTTTCTTAAGCACGACTTTCTTTCCAATCACTGACAAAACTTCTTCAATGTCTTTCTCAGTTTCAGAAGCAATCAAAAATGTCATCAACATATGACAACAACAAACAAACTGCCCCTGATTTCAATCTTCCAGTGAAAAGACATGGTTCCAGAGAATCATATTCCAGTTGCAGTTCGGAAACGGTTTCAGACAAGAAAATAACCCATTCCTGACTAGCCGACCGCAAACCATTTAATGCCTTAAACAGGTGGAGATACATTGCACTACCGGAAAGATCGCTCACAGATAATGGCAGTTTCGCGATGACGTCTCTCTTTCTCAAAGGAGTAGCCATGAAGGCGGCGGTAACATCGGCCGCACCAAGGACTAAATCCAAGCATCCGGCTACACCCAATAACACATGAAAGGCGTCCGAAGACGGCGTTGGGCTGGAGATGCCTAAGCTTCGAGCAGTGTCTTGGTTTCGCGCTACATCTCTAATCACAACCCTGGCTCTGGTGACCCCACCCCCTTTGTCGGTGGTGACCCACCTTGTTGGGATAATGCGGCAACTCTTGTCCAATCCTTTGGACTCCAGTTCCTCATGTGTACAAATCACCAGTGCCTAGATCAGACAAATTTCGATTTCTTTTCTCATCCCTAAAAGAACACTTTCCCCTGACAATTCTTTCAAAGTGGTATCATCAACAGAAGGTTCAGGTTCCCAAATTCAGATATGGAGGTTCCCAAAAGGCACTACGACACTTGTGGCATTTGTGGCAAACTTGATGGCGAAAAGAGGCAAATCCCTAACCGGCTCATCAGAGTCTGTCGCCTTGAATGCCAAATCTGCAACATTCTGCAACAGTGATGAAATCCTCGGCTTAGATCGCTCAAGCTCATCCGCAATCTCCTTCTCAAGCTCTGAGCAAACTCCGTGTCACAGCCAGCCCTTCTGTCGATTCTTCCACAGCCGCATCTCCTGGGTCCTGCCTATCAGGCCCCACCGATGGTGTGAAAAACGTAAACCCAAGTACACCTCTCGTGTACCCAAATCAACGCTTTCGTTATCCCACTACGCCAGACGCAAACACCTACTGTGGTTGCGGCCCCGCAGTTACTTACTTCTCTGCAATGTCAAAATAAAGGAACTTGTTCCACCCTGACTCCTAAGTGCACGTCAGACTCCTTCTTTTCTCTCCAGACGCCACACACAACGGAACAGGTCAACAGGAACCAAGGCAGGCACACGGCCACAAACCAAAAGGTGTTCCAGTGTGGCTACTGTTTCAAATGCCCTAGGTGACACTGCAGTTCAGTTCGCTTCGGAACACTTGACACCACTCCCTTGAGCCGATGTCTCAACTGGGAAACTCGATTCCAGGTTTCCAATACACAACCTTCCCTCAAAGGTTGTTGAAACAATTCCAAACTGCTATGATATACAAATCACCTAGTCACAAAACGTCAGAAACATTTCCAAAAGTTCTCAAGTCAAACTGGTTCTCGTCCAAACGCAAATAACCAGCTAGCCGGTGTTACTAGTCTCTACCAAACGTCTAGACTAGTTACACGGCTATTCAAGAACGAAATGATCCATTCAAATTCCTCTACAAAATTCTCTTGCAATACAGAACAACATGGGAACCTCATGTTCCATCTCCAAAACAGTTCTTCACACAGAGATGTCTTCTCATAGCTCCAAACCACCGTGGAGAGCAGAATGTTCTGCTCGACAAAATTCTCTTGCAATAAACAACATGGGAACCTCATGTTCCATCTCCAAAACAGTTCTTCATTGATTATCCCACATAATGCTTATAACGTGGGAAAAAACTGGGGCACGGTGCGCGGCACCGAGGCTGGCACGGTCAGGGGCTGGAAATCAAGAAAGTGGGGGCTTGACCGCATGGACGAAAACAATGATGATACATCACAAAACAGTACCCAGGACTACCCTGGACTACCCTGGACTACCCAGGAACTGGTCACACCAGTTGCGCTAAGCATTGGGGACAGTTGAGCATTGTGACCAAAATGCCACCTTCAGACCAGTTATGATAAGCATTGCAGCCCTGAAATGCTTATTGTAAGTGGTCCGATGTTCCTGGGCAGTACCTGGGTACTAACCCCTACCTAGCTTTACCCAGACAGTACCCAGGAATTACCCAGGAATCACAAACCAGTTGAGCTAAGCATTACAGGGCTGCAATGCTTATCATAACTGGTCTGAAGGTGGCATTTTGGTCATAATGCTTAGTGCAACTGTCCCCAATGCTTAGTGCAACTGGTATGACCAGTTCCTGGGTAGTCCTGGGTAGTCCTGGGTAGTGCAGGGTAGTCCTGGGCACTGTTTTGTGATGTATCATCATTGTTTTCCCTAATGGGATCTAAGCATCGCCCATGGTTTTGTGATGTATCATTGTTTTTCTCAAATGAAATCCAAGCACCGCCAAAAACACCAGAATCAGCGCCCAAGAACCCGGAATTAGCGCCCAGGAACACAGAATATGCTTTTCACGTTATAAGCATTACAGGGGTCAACCAAGTTCTTCACACAGAGATGTCTTCTCATAGCTCCAAACCACCGTGGAGAGCAGAATGTTCTGCTCGACTTCTCAGCTAATATCCAGTCATCAGCAGTCATAGCGCTAAAGTAGTTCGCTCACTGCAATAACCAAACATCAGCAATAAGTCACAAATACAAAGGTCACAAAGTAGACTTCCAGATCAAATACCCAGAGGTCGAATACTATACGTAGGCATTGTCCTCACAATGCCGGAATATCTCACATACTCGCAAGAAGTAATCAAAAGGCTTCACAAACATCTCAGATGTACGAAGCAACGTCAAGAATCGAAACGGATGTTCCAAAACCATCTCCGTCAGATTCACACTCCCATAAGGAGTCAAGGAACCTCCGAGATCGATGAAACCATATCATCCCGACTCAACTGTATAGCGAATGCTTCTGAAAGCATTCGCCCACTGTCACAAAGCTAAATAAAGCTTCAAACTGTATTCAAAGTAGCTTGAGCTCCGTGTAGATTCACTCAGACCCACAGGTCGATATCTCAAATCATCTCTTGCAGCTCCGTGTACCACAAAGGAATATCGAAACTACTTAAATCTGTTGTAGACACCTTCCCATAGTCCAGTTTCACTACTGAAGACTCAATGAATTCTTGTCGCACCAATGCCAAGTTGCAACCCCATAAGGGTGACAAACTTCCACACCCCCTTTCGACATGACATTCATCTCTCTCTTTACATACATACTAAAGTTCACATCCAGTATGAACTTCGACATACCTTCAATGTCATAGGTGTAGAAGACGTTGTATTCGCCAATAGACTTCGATATTCCATCAGTTCAGCACATCTTCGAAATAATGTTGAAGACTTTGTTGAAGTGCTTGTAGATGTTCTTCATCCACCAGCGTAAATGAAGTCTAAACTCTTCTGAAATACACGAAGTTTCCAAAAAAATATAACTGTCTCTGAGAAATCAACTGATTCTCAAAAATATCTTCCAGCTTGAAGTCGTTCAAGATTGAAAGTAGAATAGAATCGCTCCAACTCTGGATGATTCTCAAACCAAAAAAACGGTTGCCCCTCCAACGCTTCGTTCATCATAAATAAACAGTCTATTCATATCCATAACCACCGCCAACGCTGATTTCAGCAATACTCCATAGACGTCTCCATGGGCACAGCTCCCATCTATCCTCAACCAGTCGACATCACTAGCTCAGAATCCATCAACCGTCCCAAGGTGTCTCTTCAGAACGATTTCTTTCTTCCAATACCAGATCATCAACTAATCGAAGAAACCATGGCGTCAATTCACGATCAACTACAGTGCTGTTTGTTGTTCCCTAGAACAAACGAAAAAAACACCAACAACACACACGAGATCCAAGACGAAGACAGACGAAGCACTGTCGGAGTCAACACAAAAACAAAGGCCGACTGTTTCAGCTAATCCACGTCTTCCAATGGAAGATAGGCGTGTCAGACAAGCGAAACTGTCATCAGTCTAAAAATACTCAGATAAAATCCACATTCGTGGAAATAAAATTAAATTCAAGACATTGTTGCACCACGCAGACTCAGCTTCGGACAAGCTAAGTATTAGGCGCGCTAAGCTCAGGACATATTTCCAAAGATAGACCTTGCCCCCTTTTGAGGTAAAATCCATCAATCCTCAAACATCACTAAAGAAATGAATTCTGGTCGGCATAAAAGCTGATCTATCGCATAGTGAAAAAACTACCAGAGCGAACTTACAACCATTTTTAGAAACGTCAAGAGTACAATTCCAACAATATTGGCATGTACCTTAAGTCAGGGATGTCCAATCCACTGACATCCATGGGCAAAAAAACTAAAACACTTTGACCAAACAAAAGATTGTACATGTATTTCCATCAGACATTTAGCCTGGATCCTCTTTGATTCTTCTTTCATTCGAGAATCGGATCTGGCCATGTCATCATCTGGAAAATGGCGGCCGACAAATACAAACCACCATCAACGACCAAAAAAAAAACAACAATCACCAAACACAAACTCACAACGAATCCACAAACATGCTCATGCGCAACTTATGTCTCATGCATGTACTGCACATCCACTTTCACTACCAAGAATTGATCCTTCCAGGATCCAACTCAACTCCACGATGCGAACTTCTTCTAGGTGGCACTAATGCAACCTCTCGCCCCCTTTCAAGATCCGCTTTCCCTCTCTCCTTTTCTACTGAGCATAGAGATCTGAAGTGACGGCAACGAATACATGCTGAATAGAGTGAACCTCGAGCTGGCCAAAGGTTGGCATACCAATTACCAACTATTCTCTCTACCGCACAGGTTGCAAGAAATTCAGAAAAGAATATACATCATGGGTTCCACCCAAAAGAAGCGGACGGGCTTCCCTCAACTCTCAGTAGTCGATGTCCCGAATCTTCACATTCTCAGTAAATCCTCCTGAACTGAGAGTTCCCATCACGAATCATCCCCAATCCCTGGGGAGCCTAGAGACTGGTGATTCCGCTGGTTTGTTCAGGACGGTATGCCGTCGGTGACAATGTCCTCTGTACACCCGTTCCCGCATCTCTGGTAACGATGCCCACACGCTGGCACGGTGTTGGGATCGGAAGGGGAGTATTTGGTCTCGGCCCGTTCGGCTGTTCCGGACAGAACGCCATAAAGAGTGACACTGGCTCTGCCGGAAGTGGTGGAACTGCTGGGGCAGGGGCAGGTCCGGGTGATGTTAATCCTCCCGGATTTGCAGTCCCAGCAGGCCCAGTAGTTCCAGGGGCACTGACGGTTCCTGGTGTGAGAGGAGTTCCTGCATCTCCCACGGCATGCCCGGGGGTTGTTGATCCTCTCAGACTTCCAGCCATGGGCGGTATGGTGATTCCAGATGTACTGATCCCTCCAGGTGTGATAGGAGTTCCAGTTCCTCCCACCGCAGCTGGAACTGCAGCATTCTGAGCTCGCTCCTCTAGGAGTCTCACCATCTCTCGAAGATGCCTTCCAATGCTATCAAATCCATGACTGAGGTTGGTCTCCAACATCTTTGTTTGCTTCTCTACTTCACTTTGGACTCCCTTTATGTTGGCTTCCACTGACTGGTTGCCAGCTAGAGCCCAACGACCAGTGGCAGCCCACCGGTCGAAAGCTTTGAGAAGCTTGGTCGTTTCTCCAGCCTGAAACGACACTCCTGATGTCATCGTTGTTACGCAGGTCGCTTGATTCTGGATCTGGACACTCAATTCTTCAAATCCTTTCTTTATTTCCATTTTTCCTTGGGTGAAATGCTCCATGGTGATGGCAAGCTCTTCAGTTACATTTGCAAGCCTATTGGAACACTCTAAGATCTTCCGAGCCAATTCCGTACTCACAGCCAAGACTTCAGCAGCGTTCACATCACCATGTGGGGTGATCACTGGAGGAACCGGTGGAAACGGAGCATTCACGTCTCCTGGAGTTCCTTCTGGCATTGTTCCTCCTGGTGGCACAGATCCATCTGCCAAAGGTACGGTTCCATCACCCACTTCAGCACCTGCCGGAGGACCAGCAACATCTCCCATGCCGGCACCAGTGCCATCCAACACTGTGGAAGTCTCAGGACCCAAGTTGGCAGCATCAGCCTCAGCGCCACGTCCTCTGGAACGAGAACGGATTCGGCTGCTGCCGTCATGACCGTGACCTTCTTCAGCAGCCATTCTCAACGTACGCTCCAAACGAGTTCTAAGAGCCTGTACTACTCTACTTGAATATCCCTGCTGGCAATAGAGCCTCATGCCCTACAATCTCAATGTCTCAAACATCAGAACAAACAAACAAACCAACCAACATGATGTGTATGCTCAACAATACAACTAACTGACTAAGATTTTTCCCAAAATTCCAGATGTCTCCAACATACTGGAATTTTGCGAACCATTGATACACATGTTTCAACATGCAATAAAAATCTGTACTCATCCCCAAACCATCGAGGACCATCACGAGTTCTAATGAGTTCACTGTGCGTTCCCTGCTATATGCAGTGCAGACTCACTGTCACTCATTGACATGCATGCAGATATTCTGGAAAAGAACAGGTCTCCGTGGTTTTGCAAGAACCCTTCGACAAGTCATCTTCACAAAAACTGCACTCGTCAAATGACACACTGACTGCAAATCTCAACTGCAAGAGCAAGGAGCATTGCAAACACCCAAACTTGTTTGTGTTTCATGTTTCGTTTGTTTCGTTTCGTTTAGATTGAAATTCCACATGATTGCATCTTCTCATTTTGCAACATGTTCGCATCGACTATTGAACCATTCTCGTCATCGATCACAAGCACCCAAAGCGAGCTTTCCACCGTTTTGCCACGGCTTGCAAGGCTCAACCAAAAACTTAGAGCACAATAATCTACCACTCGCCCACTCTACAGTTCCTAGCAGGACGCTCACGAACCGGCTCATTAGCAACCATGGGATCGATGACCTGATAGAGCAATCTTCCCTGCTCATCATATTCTTCTGGAAGAAGAAATCCGTACCAACGGAACTAACCAGGTCGAACCTTTCTCCAACTAGATATCCATACCTCCAGGATCGATTTGAGTGCGACCCATGCGCCAATCGGGCGTGCCACGGATATTCAATGGTGTTGTGGATATCTGGTTGGACTCTATGATGCGTCCGCAGCTCTTCCATCTGTGGTGGGACGAGAGCTATCCAAAGACGAATGCTATCCTCCATTGAGTTCAAACCGAGATTACACTCCTGGACTCAGCAAAGAAAAATGGCTTCGTGGCGTCGATGCAAACATGCAACTCAATTGCTTCTTCATGTGGATTAACACTCATTGCAAATCTCAGTCCATGCTGATCTCTTGACTGTGAACTCTGCCGCTTACAGTTCTTCCAAACCAACGACCCACAAGTCTACAGTCAACTCCCAACTCAACACGACAACTCCACACGC